GTAGTCATTTTTTACTTCTTTTTAAATTAAAAATTTAGTAACAATTTATATTTTTAGAAAATAAAAACAAACTATTAAAATATACTTTACCAAAATTCAAGAGTTAATACGTGCCGAATTCTAAGTTAAAAAGACTACCATTCCAGAAAGAGGAACAACTAAGTTTACTTCAAACCGAATATACAAAATATTTTCAAATTAAACCCTTTAAGCAATATCCCTAATGATTGGATTCATCTTTTATATGGGTCTAGAATTTAAGACTTATGATTAGTATAAAAATATAATTTTTTTTAAAGGCACTATAAAATACTAAAACTCTACAATTTTAAGGAGCAGTAACTGAAAGACAAAAATTTGAGATCAAAAGTCATATCATTAAATATTAATACATATAATATCATAAATGTTAATAAAATAAAAAGTTAATTATTAAATGATATAATATTAATTTTTTTTAATATTTTAATATTTTAAATGACATAATTTATCTCACACTATTGATTCTAAAATTTTAATCTCATTTATCATTATCCAATTTCATGTGATGAAAACAAGAAACATGACACAATGACCATAATCAGAATCACCATTTGCAATAAATAAATAAATATATATATGTATATATATATAAAATGATTGGAATCTCCGTATAAAACAAGCTTACCGGCCAAATATATGCCTCTTAGTGTTGGAATTCTCGATCTTCCTCCTATAGACAAACACCAAGAAACTATAAGATGCAATTTTTTTAGGTTAAATATTAATTTTGGTCCCTTAACTTTATGAATTACACAGTTTTGGTCCCTCAACAATTTTTTACACTTTTTTGATCCCTCAACTCTAAAAAATGCACAACGTTAATCCTCTCGTCAATTTAAGCCATTAACTCCACCCATGTGGCATTTTTTATATTTTTTTGATGATATGGATAATCTAACTGGAAAAAAAATGATGACATGGATCGTCCAACTAAAAAAAATGATGACACGGAGATAAATTTTTATATTTTTAACCAAAAAAAAAAAGAAAACCTCTTCGACCTATCTTCTTCCTCCTCTCTCTTTCTCTTTCTTCCTCCTCCTGTTGCTGCCTCCTCTGCTGACCAAACCCAGCAAAGCTAGGATCCATCAAACCTTCTCCCCCTTCTTTCTCTTCTTCCCCTCTTGCTTTCTCAAAACAAAATCAAAACCTTAAAAATTCATACTACTTCAATCCAGCTTAATGATCATATACTCACAAGAGAAATAGCCAAATCAAAACATACAAACAAAATTTTGCAGCATTCATAATACTAAATTACCATCCCACAACCACAATATTTGAAACAAAAATCCATCAAACAAAAGGGTTCAATACATGCATAAAAATTGCTAGAGTTACTAAACAAAAAAAATCTATAAACATGGGTTTGAAAACCCAGAAATTCAGGTTCCTTAAACTCATGTTGCTGGGTTCCATGGAACCTAGAACTAGGTTCGTTATTGGGTTCCGTGGAACCTAGCAATCTGG